ATAAATATGCATGCTTACATTGCTTACTATTAAAACAATAATCAGTAATCACCGTGGCAAACAACAATTGAAACTAATCCATGACCTTTCTATTTATCACTTTCAGTATGCTCCTTTCCGAAATATTAGTTTGACTTAAACAGAAAGATATGTATTTGAGTTTTTAACCCAGTGGGATAAAACATTGAACGACCATCTTCACGCCGTAACATGTTATTCACCAATACGTGGATTGATTATCAAACTTCAGTCTGACGGTTCGTAACTTAACATAACATTACGTAACTTCGTATCTCCCACGTAACTTAACGTAATTAACGTAACATCACTAACTTTCCGTATCTTACGTACGCTACGTAACTTATAACGTAATTTAATTTAACTTAACGTAATTTTAATGAAAAGCTTAAACGTAATTTAATGTAACCTAATTGTTAACTTAACGTACTTTGCGGAACTAAAACGTAATTTATTGTAACTTAACGACGTTAACATAACGTAAATTGTACGTCTCGCGTAACAAACGTACATATCGGCGGGTGTTAGCCTTGTTCTGTGAGATTTGTGGTCGTTTATATACTGGGGTGGTAATTAACCGTAATTTTAACGTAACATAATACGACGGTAACTTAACGTAACTTAACGTAACTTCCGTATCTTATAGTATACTTTAAAGAGTACCTTATAACGGTAACGTTTAACTGGACGGTTTGAGTAGGTTAATCTGTCGAAACGGGTATATCTAATTAACCGGGATGTTGTTTAGTTTTGGGTTGTGGTGGTTAACTTAACCGTGTGTGAGACGTTTGGGGTGTATACTTTAGCCGTGCCGCAGTAACTTACGTGAACTTAATAAATAGACGTACTTTACGGTAACTTAACGACGTACTAACAGCGAGTAACTTACGCGGCGTGTAACACTTAACGTGAACGTGCGTGACGTTCGGGTAATTAAACGTACCTTAAGCGTAGCTCTTAACGTAACTTAACGTAACTTAAAACGGTAACTTAACGTAACTTAACGTAACGTCTACGAGTGTATTAACTCGTAACTTAACGTAAACTTTACGGTAATTTAACAGTAATTTAAGAGTTAAACTTAACTGTAACTTAATAACGTACTTAACGTAAGCTAACGTAACATAACGGTAACATAACGTAACTTCAGACGTAACATAACGTAACATAACGTAACCTAAACGGTCACTTAATAGTACCTTAAACCGTAAACATAACGGTACTTAAAGTAACTTAACGTGTAATTTAAAAAACGTGTACTTAACCGTAACATATAGTTTAACTTACGTAATTTTAATCGTAATTTTTTTTTAATTCGTCATTATCCATCCTATTCCTTTCTACTCCATCACCACATACAATAACCATCTTTACATACGATATGACATTTATTAATAGACAGACGGTGGTAACTTACGTAATTTAACGTAACTTAAACGTAACATAAGACGTAACTTAAAAACAGGTAACTTAACGTAACTCACAAGCGTACCTATCGTAACTACTTACATATCTTCTTAACGTAACTTGACGTAACATAAGGGTACCTTAAAACGCGTAAACCTTAACGGTAATTAACATAACACAACGTAACATAACGTAACTTAAAACGTAACCAAACGTAACTTAAACGTAACTTAAGCGTAACTTACGTACTTAACGTATAATTAACGGTAACATAACATAAACTTAACGTAAATTTAAATGTTAAATTTAAAACGGTAACTTAACCCGTAACTTAACGCGGTAACTTTAACGTGTAACTTAACGTAACTTAACGTAATCTGACGTAACTTAACGGTAATTACGGTAAACTTAACGTCATTTAACGGTAAACTAACTTAAACGTAATATAACTTGTAACTTAACGTTACTTAACGGTATTAACGTAACTTAACTTAACTTTAACGTAACATTACGTAACTTGTTCCGTATCTTCAACGTACTTACGGTAACTTAACGTATCATAGGATCAGGAAAATAACCTTTCCGTTCTCTTAACGTAACCCCTTAAACGTAACTACTTTAAACCGTAATTTAAAATAACGGGTAACTTAACGTACATAACGTAACTTAACAGTACTTAACGTAACATAACGGTAACCATAACGTAACTTAACGTACTTAACGTAAACTTTAACGGTAACATAACGTATCTCCACAACGTAATATTTACCCTCGTAACTTAACCTACCTAAACGTAACTTAACAGCCGTAACCCCTTAACGGTAACTTACGTATACTTAACGGGTAACTTAAAGTACCTTAACGTAGCCGTAACTTTAACTTGGTTGTAACTTTAACGGTAACTAAACGTAGGGGGTAACTTTAACGTAACTGGATGGAGTAACTTAACGTAACTGTTAACGTAACGGTTTAACAGGTAACGGTGAGTAACTGACTTAACGTAACTTAACGGTAACTTACACGTAAACTTAACGTAATTTAACAAGTACCTAACGTAGCGTTTAAACGGGAAACTCTAAACGTAACGTTAACGTAACTTAAGACGGTAACTTAAACGAACTTAACAGTTAAACCTTAACGGTAACTTATACAAGTAACTTAAAACGTAACTTAAACGAAATTTAACAGTAACTTAACGAATGTAACTTAACGTTAACTTAAGGCGCGGTAACTAACGTAACTTAAACGTAACATAACGTAACTGATAAAACGATGGTAACTTAACGGGTAACATAAAAAACGGGGTAAACAAATAAACGTAACCAAAGCGTAACTTTAACCAGTAACTTAAACGTAACATAAACGTAACTTACTTAACGTTAACTTAACGTAATTTTTAACGTACTTTAAACGGTAACATAAAGTAACTTAACGTAATTTAAGACAGTCATTTAAAAACAGTACACAACGTAACTTAAACGGTACTTTTACCGTATTTATACAGTAGACTTACAGTACCAATAGACGACGGCGTAACTCTTAACGTAACTACTTAACGTAACTTAACGTTGCAACGTAAACCTATGGCGTAACTTACAATTAATCTTAACGGTAAACTTGACGTAACATAACGATTCCCTTAACGTAACTTTTAACGGGTAATTTAACATAAAACACACACGTAACATAACGTAAGTTACGTAAACCACCAAGTTAACTTAAAACGTTAACTTAACGTAATAACTTACTTAACGTATTAAAACGTAATTTAACGTAACATAAGTATTTAAACAGTAACAATTAACGGTAACATAAACGGTAAAACATAAAAACCAATCCCGTATTGTAATAAGATGTCTTACTATAAGTATGTGTGAAATAATTATTATTAAATGGATAAAAAGTAATGAGTAAATAAGTTCAGATCAAGCAATTTATGTTATTTTGTATGTTACAGAGCTTCCAAGAAGTAATGGCGATTGCGAAGATAAAGCACATATTTAAGAAGTACCCTATTTTGGCGAATTCAGTAGTATATGGAACCCTATACACAGGAGCTGAGTTTTCTCAGCAAACATATACGAAGAAAATTGCGGTATGGCATTTGAAATAACCACTTTGTTTTTAATGTAATTTTTATAGATGGCACTACATATAATTCTTGTTTTTTATACTTTTAATTTTGTAAAGAACCTCTCAAAATCAAACATCATTTTTTCCGGTTTATGTACATATTACGTTTCATATCTATTGCCTCTTTCCAGGCTAATCCCTCAGAGGATTATGACGTCAAAGGTCTGGCTCGATTTTCACTGTTCGGAACCACCATAGGTGCCAACGTTCTCTACCACTGGTACATTGTTTAATTTTATTTTCGATTTTTAACTTATTTACTTTTACCTTGTTTCACCACACATTTAAGACAAAAACACTTCAATATTAGATAATTTTATGTACATAATTTTTTGAGCATGATTGCAAAATAAATATAAAATTCATGTTATTTTGAAGCAAAAGTATAATATGCGTTTAAGAAATCGAAAATCAGTTTTAAGCGACGACAATGGGGACTTTAGAATATTTGATATCTTTAATCTTGAAGTATTAGTTCATGTACAGTTCTATTTTTAGCCGGGTTCGCTAGATTCCTTTGAAGAGAGTTATGAATGTAGCCCGAAGTTCGGGAATAAAACCTGAATAGCAAAGTGACAAGTGGATGATTTTTTAATGGCTTTAATACTTGTAGTATCCATTTGTTTTCACACAAAAATGCAATAAACCCATTCACAGAATAAATACATTTCACTAACTGAAAAAGGGGGCGGACCGTTCGAATTTAGGTTCCAGTACGAATTAATTGATTTTATGATTGATTAATTGATTAGATGATTGCACAAGTTCAGACCTGCGCGGAAGCGGATTGACAGCGTTTAATCCGCGGCGGATTTTGTAACGCAATCGGACGCGTTTTTTCGGCTGACGATCGAGTTTCGTGGAGGCCCGGCCGCCTTCCGGAGTCTTGGCTCTCCTCTGGGCCAAGCTCCATTGCCATCGCGCAGAACTACGTCGCTCGAGTTTCGCTGTGGAAACCAAAGAAGAGACTCGTCAATGTTGAATATTTTCAGCTCCCCAAAGAATCTGACACGACTGAACGGTCAGAAAGAATTCTTCTAATTATGTTCAGTAATTTAATTAATTTTAAATAACATTAAACTTCGATTTTTTAAATTTCTTGTTCTCAAAATATTGAACATTTTAGTAATGTAATTAACAGCCAGGGATCATTCTAATAAATATAAAAGCGTTTCTCGTCCTTTTTGGCATCAAAACATGAAATTCTTCGTACTTTTTGGTGGTTAACGTTTGGTAGCGGTTCTTAAACCTTCCCTTGTCACTTACAAAAGTTGAGGGTTCATTTGAAGGTTTGGGAATTCAGTGATTAAAAGTGAGTGTTTCCACTCACCCAATGGCCTTCTGGGGGTAGGAGGTTCCTCTAAATTTGGCTTCTCTTTGGGCGGAGAAAAAGTTTGTTGTCAGTCCACAAAGTGTTTAAATGTGCGGCAGCGATGTCCGAGGGCGAGCTCATTAGGGCGACGCTAACAGGGACAAGCGGGCAGGTTGCAGCAAGGAGGGTGGGTGGAATGAGGAGTGCCCGAGACTGATTGTCGTTTGTTCGTAGACTCTTGGTCCTGCCACTGAATATTATCACTATTTTTAAAACTCACAATTTTTGGATTTGTTTGAATTTTTATTTGATTTAATCATTATTTTTAATTTTCACTCACACTGTAACCACAACATGTCACCTATGAAAATTTACTTTCACACATTTACATTACGTATGGTGTGTGTGTGGTATATAATCAATACACGTGTGATGACGTATAATAAAATAGTAGTAGTTCACATATAAATCAAATATGGCAATATTATGAGAGACCGTCACAGAATTAAATGGAAAAAAAAGTTATCTGACCCACTCCAACATCTACTTATTAAGTAGAGATTTCCTTCTTGAAAAATTGGCTCCACCATTTTTCTTAATGTTGTGACGTTTTTTGTTTTTTTTTAAAATATTTTTTCACGATAAATCTCAAATATGACAATATTAAAAACATATTTTTCTCAAATATCTCTAACTACCGTGATAATTTTACATTACGGGTCATATCTTATTCATTGTTGTTTTTGAATGCACGTACTTCAAATTATTCTTATAAAGTTCCCGAAAATGATAAAACGTATCCTGTAAAAAGTAGCTCAAATTGTGCCATTTTCAGAAACCTCAGAGAGATTGGGCGAAAACCGAAAACTAACTCAGACTTCAAGAGAAAAGAAAACTAAAGCACCGAGAAAGTATGTTGCCATTCTGTAGCACCGGCTAGTTTTACTCTCGATTATTTCAGGCTATACATCAAGATTATTTAATTTATTTATTATTTACGCTCAAAAGCAGTTAAAAACTGTTATGAGGACGAGTAATGGAAGAAGTTCATGTTGAAGTCACATTAATTGAAATACTAGGTCTGTTCATGACCTAAAATATACAAGCATTATGACCCTACTAAATGACTGAATTATGAATCTCTTGCAGATGAGGGCCCAATCGTGTGTCAGACTGTTATCTCGAAAAACGCCTTGAGATCAGCAAGACTTTTTCGTTTCATGCAAGGAGAAACACAGCTGGCGATTACCTACTGTGTCGTCAGTCTTCCCTGTTTCGCAATTGCCTAACAAAAATTAGGCTCTCCTTGCGGCAAGCATTGTGAAATTACATATTGCATTGTTTGTTAACTTTTGTTCTCAAGCCTCCACCTCTATTGATATTCGATATGCTCATCGGGATATCTACGATGCGACTCTTAATTATGTAAGAAACAAATGCCAACTCATACGTGTGACATCCTATATGAAAACCGGAAAATGATAAAGGTTTTAAAGAAACGCCAAATTATGACTTTATATGACTCGATGAAAATAATATAATAGCATCCATTGATATAGAAATATAACATTATTTTCCATGAAAAAAAAAAAACATGCCATGCCATAAACATCTCTGCCCTAAATGCACCATTCAGTTCTCACTAGTCACTTGCAGTTCTGTACAGCAGTTAATGAAATCCGTGGATAACCACAGGAATGCTAGACACGAATCAATTATGTCCCAAAGCGAAAGGTGCAGATTGCATCTGCATGCCCTACTTATCGTTTATTATCGCAGGTCTACAGGGTATTATGCGTTGCATTATAACAATAATATAATAATTTAAATAATTAATTTTATATTACGCTTGCATCGTTACACACAACGATTTGAATAAATTGGCGAGTTCGTACAAACCTGAGCCTGATATTGATCAGTGACTCCATATTAATTATAAGAGATAAAGGACAACAATGCGCACTCAAGGGCAGACCAAAACCTCACAAATTATATATAATATATACTACTAACACTCTATATATAGTATTATTCTATAATATAATCTATATAGCCAAAGAAAATACAAATACGCCAGACAAACGAACAACAGATTTTTTCAAAATAACACATCACTATACTCTATTCTCCTCATTTCTTGCCACTTCAACATATTGTACGTACAATTTAAACACTCATTCCTATACAATCTATAATCATAATTTCGACACATATAGTTGCTATAAGTGACCGTGTCCTCACTGAAGATTCGACGAATATTCTTATCTATTCAGCTCAGACCCTGACAGCCATACACGCACAACATAACCGCACAGCATTAAACAGATCTAGTTAGGGAGTGGACCCGTCCCAGCTTCTTCTATATAAAAACACTGGCGATTATAGTTGAAAACAGACGTATAGTATGGCAATTTAAGGTGAAGTTCCTACTGAAGGGTACGGCCTTCATTAAACATCGCATTTTTCGTCTGGCCGGCATTAAAGCCTGATGTGCATATTGGCTACTATTACAAGAATGCGAAAACATCAAGTTCACTCCTCACAGCTCTCTCGTGATTCGCCGTCACCTCTGAGAACGTGAGCAAGACAATAAAGCAAATTTCCTAGCTATCCCCCCAAAATCATACATTTTCTCGTCAAATATTTCTATATTGGAAAATTACATTCGCAAAGAAGAAAGTAGTGCTCTGACTTTTCTCCCTTCCCACCCCGCCTGAGACCCGTGCACTGGCTATCGCCATCGCCTGCCCTGACCCGCCTGCGCTCGGTGTTCAGCCCGACCGGATGCCTTGCGGACCCTACGACCTAGCACGCTGGGCGCTACGCATTCTGGGCCTTGGCCTCTACCCACAGGTGTATCCGCTACCTTTCTGTCGAGCGATTCCCTGCCCTGACATGCACGCTATCCGTTGTTCAGTACTTATCTTCATTGTTCGTCCCAAGACTCGTATCGTATGCGGAACTTCCGAAAATATAGTCCCCGTGTAGTTTGTGACGAATTATATTTTTTCCCGTTAAAGAATATTTTTAATATGCCCAGTATTGTAGTTCTGTTGCCATTAACCAATTAGATTTTTAAAATTTTAAATATCTTAATACGTTAATCCCAGTCTGTGTTTATAAGTTCTTCAATCATAATCATGATTAAATAATATGTGTGTATTATTGTATCAGATGCAGGTAATTGAATATGCAAAAACCGATGCCACTACCGTAAAAGGACTAAATGACCAGTAGCATTTACGCGCCCAGAAACACAAAAAAGTCAACTTTATTTCTTGAACGTAATTATGCTGAGTAATAAGGCTGCATAATGCAATAAAAAAATCAAGAAGAGGCATTGACAGTACAAATGAACCCAAACACAACCTTGCCGAAGAGCAAGAAGGCATGATAGCGTATCAGTTACGTTCTCCTTCCCTATTCTCAGTTTTAGCAGCTTGTAGCTCTCAAGCTACCTCAAATGATTAACCAGTGCGCTATGAAGAAACGCGCTTCGGAGCCGAGGTTGCAACGTTGCAGTAATCGTTCGTCTTTTCAAACTTTTTTAGCTTTAAATATTACAATCTACATCTATAACACGTTAATTAAACGTAGGGATTACAAGAGCAAGCCGATACTCACTGGACTACACTGGCAGTACTGCCAATCACTAAGCAGTAAGCATTTTGTGTTCGAGACAAAATGTAATACTTGATCTCTCCACATTATTTAGTGTTAGAATAGTAATCCAATAGTCAAAGTTCACAATGATAATTTAGATTTTCTGAAGTATTATCAAATAATATTAAAATAGTTTTAAAAGGAGAAAAGGATACTATTCTTTACCTATATGAAACATAAAAAAAAATAAGACAAGGAGAAAAAATTGCGAAATTGCCATTCTAATCCCATGAAAAAATCAACAAAGTCTTAAAAAAC